CCAAGAATATGAATTCCTACAGTCACGAAAGTTTCAAATCAATATTTTAATGTTTTTCCACAATAAATCAGCAGAACATCTCGTACGACAAAATAAATTGCCGAGGCAGATGATACCACCAAAGTATTTTTTGCTTCACTTCACAAGACCTCTCATTGGTGATAAGATTGAGACCTGTCAGCTTGCTACAAATGGTACGGTTCACATTTAGATGCTTTGGAAATCCAGTTATCAATGTATTGAGACTGGCCTAAACTCAATTGCCTGGAGAAACAAAAATGCAGCGGATCAGCAGTGCCAGTGGCTGGCACATTATCCAGGAAACATGAACCTTGCCAGCAACATCTGTCTATGATTGTAGGTTTATAACGACCAAGTTAAGTGATGTTTTGTTTCCCATCCCACCCCTGCTCTCCACTCACTGCGGGCATGCACCTTAAGGCTTCTGGCTGAGAACAGCCTCATTTGTGGAGCAGCCGACTGTGAACTTCAACTATAACATCATGCTGCTGCTGGAGACGAACTCAACGCCCATCGCATGGAGCACGTTCGAGAACCTCAACTCTCTGCTGCCCGAGCTGCGCACTCCTTTCGTTACCGTGCGTCTGTCCCAGCGATTCCTGAAGGAACAGAACTAGCGAGGCGACAGGATGAAGCCCTCTGTGCTTGTGCCGAGAATATCAGCCGAGGGTTATCCACAATGCTCCGCAATCAAAATGATTGGGTTTCACAATGCCGTACCGCAACTCCTGAAATAAGACTTGGAAATGTATTATCCACAATAAGACCTTAATATTCGCGGGGAACAGTTCTTGTATAGCAGCACGAATATTTATAATGAAAGCTCATGAGGAAAATATGGTTAGGGGGCATAAGCATATTACATTGAAATATATAAATTGTATGCATATATTTATGAATACATATATTGTATAGTATTATTGTTATTTAACTCACCTTTAATGATGAACATAAACATTTATTATTTAAAATATGAATATGCGGTGTTATATAAACTTTTAATAATGTCAATTTATTTTCGCTTAGGGGCCACGGTTAATGATAACACAGTACGTCCGTATAGTTGGTAACTTTGGCGCACACGCCAACTGCACCGCCCCATGCGTCGGTACAATATGTACCATACAGGGATCGCTATGGCCGCGAATATTTAAAACCCGCGAATTTCAGACAGCACTACAATAAATTTGTTGCGACTATGCAAAGCCGCGATGATTAAAAACCCACTAATTTTAAGGGTATACTCTTTTGGGAGATCCATTTATTTGTGCTTATCCACATTTTCCTCTTATCCAGGGTGAATTTCCCACCACTTCTGTGTTACCACTCTTGTCCACAAAACAGCATGGCGAATAAGATGGCGTGCTTCCGGGAGACTGCTTCTGAGTGAATAGTGGTTCGGTAAAATCTGCGAATTCGTGCATAGTATTATTCATTTACCGCTAACTATTGCCGCCGCCAAAGTTGCGCATGGCCTGGAAATCGTTGCCTTTTTATTGTTGTGTACAGACCAAATGCATGATTTTAAACTGTGCACAGATAGCATTAATTTTGCAAACTTATGATGTACTCCTTAAATCCATGGATAAGCATGGCTATTCACCCAGATGAGAGATGTATCATTTGGGGTGTGAAAAATAGAGGTTAAGTGGATTTCCGCTGTATTTAGCAACGGGAAGTCATTTATCCATAAAACTATTATGCACAGTTCACCTCGTACAACGTTTCTTTTGAATGAGCCCACAGCTGCCAAGTGAAATAATGTTTCTATGCTTGGCTGGCACAGGCGAGGGAGGAGGACGTGAATCTGGACGGAAAAGCAGACCGGTTGCACTGTTCCCTGTCCATGCCAATGAACGCTGCAGAAGAAGTGGTCGGTGTGCATCTTCTGCTCACCTTTTCCTACAAGCTGTTTGTAAGCACCTCACAAACACATTTTCATTGTTGATTTGACTGTTCATGTGTGCCTGCATAAGCATATGGTCATTCTCCTGTGAATAAACAACTTGTGGTCTGCATGTGGGTACAGCGAATGCCCACGCTGGTGATGCAGAGCATGGCCCTGGCGCAGCATTCTTCCCGCTGCATGGCTCCGAGCTGAGCGTCAATGGAGACCTGCGTCTTCGGCAGCGAGAGCCACTTGCTCACCGTGGCCTGGACACGCGTTACAATGTACAACCAGTGGCAATGCTTTGCCACCCATCAATAACCGTTGGCTTGTCTGACTTTCCTCCCAAAATCTTATGAACAGCTGATCAGTCACCGCATACTTAAACCTGGACAAATCATTTACACATACTCGCCATATGGTGTAAGTTACTGCATACATTGCCAAGAGAGGCTCTAGTTTTAGTTTACGAAATATTTCCTTAATTATTTCCCGATAACTCCTACATTGTCGATGCAGTGTAGTTAATCTTCAGATCTAAAACAATATATGTAGGTTATCTTCAGAAGCCCAAAACTACAACAGATTATTGTCCTATTGAAACAGAACTAGTTTCATTTGTTCTTAGTTACAGCCAACCTACACATTATAATTGACAAGTAAAGATTGTTTACACTGACAAGTAGTCACTTGCTCACAACGTATACCAATAACTATTGAATTCTATATTGTTCCTTTTCACGTTTCACTTCAGGTTTCAGTGGTCAATGGTAGCAGTCCATTTGCCGAAGCTTACGATTTACTGAGATAATCCACGCCTATCAGGAAAGGAATGGTGAGATACTGTGCATTATACTACACACACTAGTGGTGGTGCAGTGGTTAGCACATTGTGCTGTAAACCCAGTGACCTACATTCGATTTTCTGTCTTGACCTCCCTTTACCAACGTGCACTTACCAGCTTGGTAACTATGGGCAAACCCCCATAACCCATATGGCCTTCATCCAGCAGTCGATTAAGGGCTGCAAATAAAAATGTATAAGTTGCACACAGCAGTATTACAGGTCATTGTGATAGTCAATTCAAGTGTAGAGGCTACTCATACAAATGCTGGTGAACTGCTTATAGGAAAGAACTGATATCAATCATTGGTCAAGCAAGCCAAACTGCTGATAAGACACCAAATGTAAAAAACGGTAGTTTGTTCGTATTGACCCAATGCAGCTGAAATTGTGCACTCCCAGAAGGCTGTGTGTAATGTGTAAAACACTTTTACGTGGATGAGGCAATACTTACATTTTCCCCATCAAGAACCAAAATAAAGTTATTGGATTTACAAAAGGTGATTATTTTCTATTTAAATACTAATGTCTCCATTGTAAATTTGCATTTTCAGTGAGTACAGTACTTGGCAACACGATGGTCATGTGGAAGTCTGGCCGAGCTGGTACCACCCCCTTCGTCATTAACCTGCTCATCCGCTACCCAGAGGAGACCATCCTATATCCTTCACCATTGTACTATACTTCACATTGATGAATGCTGATAACTCGACACAGCAATTTCTACAGGAATACATCTGCAGTTAAATAATTTCAGTAAATGCGTTAACGGTTGTGTTACTAACAGTACAACTTAATACATTAACAGCTGTGGTAATTAATATTTACGTTGCATTATTTTTATTTTACAGCTTGCAGTATACAATGGTAAGACCTGCATGCAGTCTTAGGAATCAATTCAGAATTTCCCAGTTGTATTTCCTGTCCAGTATTACCTTTCATGTTTATAATCTTTATGTATTCATGTGGTGTCATGGCTATCCATGACCCGGTGCAGCCATTCGTGTTAATTACAGTTAACCAAAGTTCTTCTTGATGCCAGCAGTAGGAATATTATTAAAGGACCTTTTATATTCGTGCCAATTAGCAGATGGTGTGCCTAAATGATGTCCGTGTGACACTTGAAAAGCATAGCAAGTAGCTGGCATGTGCTTCTATAAATGTAATCGTGGCGTACTTTCAGGTTTTGCCTTAACATGCTATTGACACTTACCAGCCAGGCTTCTGGGAGCAGATAAAGTTTGGCTGGGTGCAGTACGTCAGCGTTCTGCTCATCTTCCATTGGGTCTTCCAGAGAATCAAAACGTTTGTGTTTGAGAATCAGGTTCTCCGAACAATCCCCATCAACCCCTTCAAAATACATCGAGCATGACAACTTTGCACAGCAGATGGCCTCTACGCTCATCAGGGACATCAGTCTGGACAATGCACTGCAACCAAATCTGTACCCATATGTTGAGCCCCTTACAAAAAAAAGATTAAAATGCTTCAGTAATTATTTTATTTCAGTGGGGACGACATTGCATGTTGCATTAAATCCAGGATGTAGAAAGAGCACATAAGGCATGTGGTGTAACTGATCCACTTGCGTTCCTTAATCTTCCCACAGCAGGTGAAGTTAATTGTATTACAGGGGATAAAATGCATACAGTGGATAACATGTTTCGTACCATATCGATGCCTTTAAGGAAACAGGGATGCAATACTGTAACCCTACTGGCATAATATTCACCGATGTAGAACGCCAGTCTTGGCAAAGCAGGACAGCTTTAGACAATTTTCTGTAAATTGTAACATGTGCCTTTATTACTATTATGGGCTCAAGGATCCTTAATGAGGTGTAAACATTGCAGCATAGAATCTCACAGCATTATCTTAAGTATATTATACATTTCACAACCTAATTCGTTTCTAAAATTACTTAATATTTCAATGAACACCAGATCAAGAATCTTTGTTTTGTTAGGCATATGTTGTTTGCTTTATTTTCTGTTTCACACATTCAAGTTCTGCATTTTATAAATCAAGTGTGTAAGTTATTTGAACAAAAATGTTATAAATTCCTTTTGGCTCAAACATGTTTTGTAAAATTATAGTTATATTTGTGCATATACTGCATTTTTACAAGCAGAACATAAGATAGTGCATGTGTGTACACGTGGTTTTGTACTGTGAAATTAAACATTCCAAAGTTCGAAAAGCAGGTGTGCGCCATGTTGATGTGTCTGTGCATCCGTGTGTTGAATATCAGCGGTTGTCTTCTATGATTATAATGCGTCTTGGATATGTCTCCAGCTCCACGAACAGATATCTAAACTCAAACTTGCCTTTTGGAGTCTGAGAGACAAACATGCATACATACCTCCAGTTAATACTTGCATACGTTATTTGCAAATGTTTATTATTTACAAAATGCAACATCAAGTATTGTTTTCATATATTTATATATTTAAACAGTATATTTATTACATATAATGGCTGGCTATTGACTGAACTTGTTTCGTACCATATTGATGCCTTAAAGGAAGCAAATGTTTTAGCAAATAATCATTATTTGTGGCGAGATACAAATTAACAATTGACTTAAATTGCTGCTGTTATAAAGCCATTCATATTAACACCAGTTATTTTGTGAATTAACCTGTTAATAGCTACACAGAACGATTATTATTTTTTACCCCTATGAGATGGTTTAAGCAGATATGTGCACTAAATATCCTTTTCAAACTTACAAGCATCTAAAAAGTGCTCTGTAATGGGCACACTGGTTAGTCCAATGCAACATTTCCATGACCAATGGAAAACTGGGCTTAGCGGCCCAGGTTAATGTTTTTTTTTTACAATGTTTAACATGGGCATGAGTTAATTTAGGCTTAACATCTCACTTTGTAACTTTCAATGATTCGTTTACAATAACTGCCATCGATTTAGATGAACAATGGATATCGCTAACAACACATCCTGTTTCTGCATTGATCCTGTGGCACCATGACTACTTCAGGCTGGGGAAAAGCCAAACGATTACATGCGTGCTCCTAAGCTCTCATCCCACACCCAAGTGGGTTTGGATCAGCACAATATGGCTCCCAACGAAACACAAGCCGAGCTGGCAAACCCGGTCTGTGAAACGAGGCACGTTTTCCCAGAGGTCATGCAAATGTGGCATGCGTGGGGCAAGGCTAAGTCGGCTACATGGGAGATGCTCCTGCACAGCACTGCGCTGTAAACTCACCTGCACCACCTCTGCGTGGACTGTGCCTTTTGCCATCGGCTCGCTACCACTAATGTAGAACTTGACACGCATGTGCTTCACTCCTTCCTGCTCGAACTCCAAATGGCTGAGTAAAAAAGGAAATAAAAATTATTTACATCAAGTGAATGAATTCCTTAGTCACCAATGACTGCAAAAACCCCATGAAATGTAATTGGTTCTGCGCTATTTTATTTACATTTCAGCTGAGCATGATCGGATTGACTAATGTAACGAACATGATACTACGTGCAGGGCGAGTAAAACAAATTCTGCCTTCTTACTGTGTAGACCAGAGATCACATGAAGGGATTTCAGAGGAGCTATTGATATGCACTTCCTTGGGCTGTCCTCTAACATGAGGGTTGCAGCAGGGCTCTGCGAGAAATCCAATTGGATACTTTGTCTCGCGACATAATGCCAAAAGCACAATCGGGATAAACTGAGAAAAATATTTTTTAAATGTAAATAACAGTAGGAATGAAAGTTACTTGACCTCATCTAAAATAGTTGATTAGTTCAAATTCCCCATGTATTTTCAATGAGACGTTACGAAGAAAAGCTGTTTCTGGCAGAGCCCGCAGTCGCAATTCATACAATTTTAAAGACGGCGAAAATGTCCAGATGTGGAAATAAAATATTCAATAAATAAAATATTACAGACTCGGGGCATTTCAGGCCATTCTACAAGTATAAATGATCACGTGTAGGAAAAGGCCCGCTTTCACATTACACCAAAGACGACGCAGCCAAACAGAAAGCGACGTGACTTTCTTGTGTAAGGCTCTCTTAACATTTACCTTGCATTACGGGTCAATATTGAGCGTTACTGCCCTGGTCACGGCACGGTCAACTCAATCATGCTGGGGCCATAAATTACGGATGGGGTTACTGTCTTGCTGGAGTCCCAACATGTACGAAATAATGGGTATGCAGCACTGAATCTCTTCCACTGGGATTTTTGCACACAGCGTTGGTGTACGGTGATTTTTTTTCTGCAATGTTTTGCTGTCTTTTCTTGGATTTTCTGTTTGCACTCAGTCACATATTCACTTTAAGATGTTTTTTGTCCATGTTTTTGTTTTTTGTTTGTTGCGGTTGCACCTGATTCAAGAGCCGAATGGCTCACAGGGCTATACCTAATAAATGAACTTGAACCTGTTCACCATCCAAGCATTTGAACAATGTAAATGCCAGCATTCATGCAGACTTTCTACACAACGATCATACAATATTCTTATATGGTTCAAAAAGATGTTTACAGGAAGATGCAGAAAATGCAACCAAAAAACGACCACGTCTTATCTTGTAGACCTTGCACCTAGGCTGTCTTTGGCTTTGTGACATGTATGTTTCATTAATGGAAAGGAGACATCTCCCAGATAACCACCTTCATGTTTACACAGTATTTGCCGGTAGCCTCACGTATTTCCCACACACGTGCAATGGTTACACCGTCCCATATTTCACAATATCACCATTACCACCCCAACAGCCATGTATACATACAATGGTCAGTGTGCGTCGGTCAAGGGGCGAGCATAAACATGGAGCAAAGAAGCACAGCACAACAATAAATGTTTATACGCTGCCCTTTACTGCCCGCTGCATAGCCCCCACAAGCCACCATCCCAACCTGTTTGTGCATCTTTCTTCAAATACAATTCTGAAAATGGCACCATTGCCTTTAAAATTGCTGCGTACAATTGGGTACAGGTCATCCCCCATAGCCATGTAATAGATGGGTAAAGTTGGTTCGACTGCAGTGCTCTCAAGCGTGTACCAACTTAAGGCTTTACCTGACATGCTGTCTACGGCCACGGCGCGTCGTCTCCCCGTAGCCACTGATCGGCAGTCCAAGGGCAGCCATGACCTGCAGGCAATGAGATGGAAGAGGGAAACGTTGATCCCGTGACCACCGTTTGTGCACTGAGAAATGGTAACAATTCAGTAAATCAATCCTCATTTTTCTCACCTGAGCCTGATCATTTGAATGTGTCTAAAGAAAATGTTTCTGGGTTTTTTTGCACAAACTTTCAATCTCCCATTGTTTATGAAGCACTGTGAGGTTAAACCACCCTCCGAGAATTAAATATATCGGTTTGACTGTCATGCGACAATGGCTGGACAAGTACTGACCCCTACTGTGTGGACCTGAGGTTACTTGAAGAGATTTCAGAGGTATCCACTTCTGTCAGCCATTCTCCTAACATCTACGGTGGCACTGCTCTGTGATATATCCGTATGGATACTTTGGCCTGTGAAATATCATAATTATAACCTTACACCAGGGAAAAAGTGCATAGCGGTTGTGCGAGTGTGTGACCTCAGGGTGGTCTCGGCAGCGTCCCAAGGCAGATGTGTAAACTCTGTTGGGACTCCAGGAGGAGAACAGCTCCATGAACACTGGGTAGAGCAAGGCGCCTGCAGACACACACAAAAAATACTCTAAGGAAACCCAGAGGTATGCCGCCAGTTACCCCAGTGCAGACGGTGGAACTCCGAATGCCTTGTATAACATCAACACCAATTTTCTGCTGTACAAACACCCGCGCAAAGAATTTCTTAAGCCTACACGCAGTGATATTTTGCGCACATTGATTTTTAATTGCCAATTTAGGTATGTTTGTAGCGACGTTTTACTCACAAAAAATCCCCTGCACTTAAACAGCCACTCTGTCAATCCAATGCTGGATAACAGCCTCCCCCACAGTGTGGGTCATGTGGGTAATATGACCATACTTCACCACGCTGATCAGTGCGGGTTGGTGCAGGCATATACTGTACCTCAATTTTATATTTCATACATGTATTGGAATCTTATAATTGTATCTCGACAAGCTGTTTTGTTGGAGAATTGCCCTGATAGAAATATCTGTGATCTCTTCAATAGATTCATCCTTCAACCAACATTATTTTCTTGAGCTGTGCACAAAGGTTAATAGTTTTGCTATGTGTCAAAGGTTAAGGATTTGATGTGAGCAAGACCAAATACTTTTCAATTATGAAATTTCAATTGTGAAATCTTACAACTGGTATTGCTTAAGCCCCAGTAAGGCTACAGCCAATAAACTCACGATATACAACAACTTGTTTTCCTTCGAGCAGGCATTAAGAGCTAAGCAGTACCGGCTCAGCATCCTAACGAGGCCATTATCCCTCTCAAATTGACTTTTATGTGGACTTCAATTAGGAAATTGGAATCCCTCGAAAAAATGTCCGCTGCTTTAGCAGCATTACCATATTGAATTACTATCAAGTGGCTGGCGTGAGGTCACGGAATATTGAGCCTGGGGAATGGAGGTTAACGAGCACGATTCTTGTCGGTCACCGAGCCTCCGCAAATGTGACATTTACCTTGTGTGCAGAGGTGCAAGGATCTCACTCACCAGTGAGCCCGACACCTAGCAGAATGACTCCGAGGTACGTCAAGTCTCGGCCTGCATCCTTCACTGCAAGGAAACATTCATTGCGTAGGATGGTAAAAGTGCAGCCCTGCAATTACTCACGCAACTGCTGGTGGAAGGGCATCCGTTTGAAGGAACCCTCTAGAGCCCCGATAGATGTTCTTTGGCCTACTCTGCCATGTAGGCCAGACTTCTTGGAAGAAGTAGGAGTACCCAAAGTTTATCCTACCACGTGCGAATGGCTGATCGACTGTGGAAAGCCCATTCACTAATAGGTAAGATCAAATAAATAAAAATGCCCCTTGTCTCAAACTGCAATTCAGGGAGATTGAACCAGTGACCTCTGGATTGCAAGTCCAGTATGCTACCATTACAGAACCTTCGATTAGCAAGGTTTATTTCACATCCGTTTAATTGCATATGCGTTCTTTAATTCCAATATGCATCCTCCAATAATTTATTCACGACCCTCATGGCTGATCAAAAGAAATAAGCCAATTTAAGCTATTGATCTTGAACCAATTTGATTGCCTATGTAGTTGCGC